TTTATGGAAGGTCTCCAAAAATTGTGGTTTAAAAAATCCACGCCTTATAGAAGGTCTCCAAAAATTGTTCTTTAAAAAATCCACGCCTTATAGAAGGTCTCCAAAAATTGTTCTTTAAAAAATCCACGCCTTATAGAAGGTCTCCAAAAAATATTCTTTAAAAAATCCACGCCTTATAGAAGGTCTCCCAAAAATATTCTTTAAAAAATCCACGCCTTATAGAAGGTCTCCAAAAAATATTCTTTATAAAATCCATGCCATCTGTAAATAATTTTCTCCCGCAACAGTCCTTATTTTTCTTATTTGGCAAAAAATTATTATTTTTACCATATTTTTTTGCATTTCGTTTTCATACTTGTTTTCAGCTTCTTTTTTTTTTGTTGCTTTGTTAATTCAGAAAAATATATTTTTTGTTTTGTTTTTGTAAATAAACTTCATTTTCAGTTCTTTCCTAGTTTTTGAGTATTGTGATTATTTTGGTTGTTGTTGTTTTTTCAGGCTAAATTGTCATATTAACCCAAATTCTTATTTCTATTTATGTAGCGCGCTTTTGGCTTACACTTAGCCGCTTCCTCCTCATCTGAAGTTCTTTTGTGGGGCCCCTATTCATCCATCCATTCATTCAGTTAGTCAGCTAGTCTGTCAGTCATCTTCTCGGCTAATGGTGATGATGACGCCGACGACTATTAACTGTGGTTTATGGTCGTTAACTTATGAAAACGATATAACCAACAAAACGACAACAACATCAACAACAAAAAATGAAATAAAATCCCAACAACAAAAATATCACTTAAATGCTTTCTGTGTAGACTTAAAGACGTCTTCCAACGTCCAAAACAATTTAAATAAAAATGTGGAATTGTATCCGTTTTGTAATTCATTTCATGGTTTCTTTAATTTATTTACAACATGTTTGCCGCCGGTTCTGGTTCTTTGGTTTGGAGGAATTACAATTCAGCGAACAACATCTGATGATCGGCTCAAGTAAATTGGCTTTAAAAAACGCACACACAGTAACCTACCATAGGAAAGGCAACATGAAATTGGGTCAGTTCTGTAAGGCAAAAGGATTTTTTATGGTTGTTGCGGGGCAGAAAAGGGAAAAAGAGAACAGAAAAAATACAACACTATAACCGACAAGTTAATCTTTAATTTACATAATTGGTTTAATTGTGAAATTATTTAACAGCCAGTAGAAAAAAGAAAACAAAAACAGAGAAAAAATATAAAAATTGGCTTCCCTGCCAATTGAGAAACCATATAAAAAGGGTACGATTACAAAAAGTATTGATTTTTCTAAATTAATTCTTATTAAAAGGGGTCTATTAAATAGCTCAGAGGTCTAAAATAAGATCATGTTGTTAATTTAGTTAAATAAGAATTATAAGTGAAGATTTTTTCCCAAAGGCAAACAGGCTTGGATTTTTTAAACTAATATTTTTCCAAAGGCCAAAAGGAGTGGATTTTTTAAACGAATATTCTCTTTGGACCATCAATATGTTTTCCCTCCATTTAAATGTGTAACTAAATAGATTAATGAACCAATATATTCTGAAATTCAAAATGCGTATAAGTAACGGCAACACTGATACGCACCCAGGTCACAAAGCAAAACTATTTAAAAATAGAGCCGTAAATCATGAATGCTTTTATGAGAACTATTAAAAGTGTAGTTTTTTAATACATCAGTAAGGGTCTATTGGAAGTGTAGATTTTTACAAACAATTTTTGATAGCGTACAAGAAGTGTAGATATTTTAAAAAAATCTCTTAAAGGAAACGTAGATTTTTTTAAATACAATTTTTGGAGGAATATCAGAAGCATAGATTTTACAAATATTATTCTTCGTGGATGTTTTTTTAAACGAATAGTTTTCCAAAGACCATTCGTGGATTTTTTTGAACAAATATTCTCAGACGAAAAAAACATTGATGGACCAATGTTTTTTGGACCAATGTAATCTTCTGACATTTAAAATGCGTATAAGTAACGACAACACTGATACGCAACCAGGTCACAAAGCAAAACTATTTTTTAAAAGTATTTTTGAGGGTCTAAAAGGAAATAAGGGGTGGTGTAGGGGATGATAGATACCAAGCCACGGCTCTGATTGCCTTTAACATGGCGAAGTCCAGGCTTATCTAGGTCCCTTTTTCATCTCAATTGTGGACACTGATCTCCCCGTGGCGTCACCTGGTATAGCTATTTTCATCACCTGTTGAAATAGTGAGCTAATATGTGCCGCGAGTTCACCCATAAGAACTATAAAAAAAGAGTACAGGTGTCGGGTTAGTTGCCCACACTATGAAAAAGCAAAGAAAACTACAACCAAATCCCCCTAATGATGACGACCCCCACAAATAAAGAACCACGATCTGCGAATCTGCACTTGGAATGTGCGCACCTTGTACAGAACAGGTGCAGTTTTCGCTTTGGCGGATGTACTCAAGAAGTACAAAGCCGATATTAATGCCTTACAGGAAATGGGATGGAAAGGGACAGGCGTAAGTAAATCAAACGAGACGTGATTTATAGTTAACAGGCCTCGGACTTATGGTTAACAAGAGAATAAAAGATCTCGTCTCCAGATTCACTCCAGTAGATAAGCGAATTGCCATAATCCGCATAAAAGCGAAGTTCTTCTACATCAGTCTTATTTGCGCCCATGATCCGACCGAAGACAAAGATGAGCAGACCAAAGACATATTTTATGAGCGCCTAGAAACAGCATATGATTGGTGCCCTTGCCATGACATTAAAATTCCGCTAGGAGGTTTTAATGCAAAAATCGGAAGGGAAAACATCTTTGGCCCCACCGTCGGGAAATTCAGCCTTCATGAAGAAACATCCGACAACGACATGAGGTTGATTGACTTCGCGGCAGCAAAAAACATGGTAGTTAGCAGCATCAGATTCAAGCATCTCGATATACACAAGGCCACCTGGATTTCTCCTGATCAAGCAACGAGAAACCAAATTGATTATGTTGTGATAGACGGAAGGCATTCATCCAACGAATATCGATTCGGACCACTACCTTATGGCAGCCAAGGTACGCTCCCTTCTTAATGTAGCAGAAAAGGTGCTATCTCAACTCGACGTCAAAAAGCTGCAAACACAACAGGTAGCCGAGGCCTACTCCGCTCAACTTAACCACCTGTTTGACGAAAGCACTTCTTGTTCCGATAATAGTATAGAAGCACAATGGCAAAGAATTGCCCACTACCTACATACTGCAGCCAAAGCAACACTTGGGTACCAAAAACCACCACCAAGAAACCCATGGTACGATCAGGAGTGTCGTAATGCTACTGATCGGAAAACGCAGCGTATAGGGCAACCCTGCAAACAGTAGCATCGCGTAATGTGATGGAGAATTATCGGGAGAAAAGGAGAGTGGAGAAACGTGTTTTCAGAAAAAAGAAGAAATAACAAGAAAAACGTGAGCGTGAGCAAATCTAGATGTACAGGAGTCAGAATGAAGTCCGGATATTTTACCAATGAGTAAAACACCATACAGAAGGGTTTGGTGCCGGCACATCCTCCTGTAGAGATGAAGAAGGAACCTGGTGACAGATACAGACAGCGTGCTGAGGATCTGGAAGGAGCATTTTTAAAAGCTTCTGGTATGGTATAGAGTGTATACCACCTAGCCAAGATGAGGTCATAAAAGCAATTAATCGGCTCAATAACAATAAAGCAGCAGGAACCGACGGGTTACCAGCCAAAAGGAGACAAGACAGTATGTGCCAACTATAGAGGAATTAGCCTTCTTCTCATCGCATATAAATTGCTATCCAGTGTGCTGTGTGAACGATTGAATCCAATGATCAATGATATTATTGGACCATACCAATGTGGCTTCAGATCTGGCAAATCCACCATTGACCAGATTTTCACTCTGCACCAAATCCAGGAAAAGACCCACGAAAAACACATCGACACATACCACCTATTCGTCGACTATGAAGCCGCATTCGACAGCCCTATCCGTTCAGAGGTGTTTAAAGTCATGTCTGCGTTTGGTATTCCTGCAAAATTAATGCGGCTATGCAGGATAACATTAAGTGGCACAAGGTCAGCAGTTAAAGTCGGAAAGGACAAGGTGATAGTTTGTGTTGTGATCTTTTTAACATCCTGCTGGTAAAGATCATACGAGACGCAAAGGTGAACAGAAATGGCACTAAACAACACATGTTACTCGCCTACGCCGATGACATCGATATAATGGTCGAACATTGCGAGCGGTAACAGCCACAGCCAAAAAAATCACACCTTGGCTAGAGTCCTTGAAATAATTTTTAAGAAATCCAAGAGGACCCTTTAAAATAATTTTTAAAAAATCTATAGATCCTTAAAATAATTAAAAAAAAAAATTAATGGATCCTTAAAAAAAGTTTTAAAAAAACCAAGGATCATTAAAATAATTTTTAAATAATCCACGCCTTGGTTGATGGGTCCTTAAAAATAATTTTTAAATAATCCACGCCTTGGTTGATGGGTCCTTAAAAATAATTTTTAAATAATCCACGCCTTGGTTGATGGGTCCTTAAAAATAATTTTTAAATAATCCACGCCTTGGTTGATGGATCCTTAAAAATAATTTGATAAAAAAATTCACGCCGTGGTTAATGGGTCCTTAAAAATAATTTTTAAAAAATCCACGCTGCAGGGTAGGTTCTTAAATAATGTTTAAAAAATCCACGGCTTGTAGATTTTCTCTGATTTTCATTTTCATTTGTTTTTACCCTGGAATATTGATTTTTTGTTGTAGTAATCGATTTCCTTTTATTGTCCTTCAAATCATACACACAATCCTTGGAAATCTGCAGCATATGCAGATGGCATTTGACCTTTACATCATTGCCATAATATTAAGCTGCACAGAGCAAGGTTGAAGGTTAAGTATTGCATTGGCAAAAGTCCAAACAGGCCATTATTCTTTTTCAAAATCTCATGATATTGATATTTCACAATAAAATCATAATATCACTCACTTTCAAACATTCTGATGCGACTCTGTATATCCGTCGATATACCTGCTGCTGTACGATTCGTCATTTTTGCTTTCGAAGTTTTGCCACCAAAAATAAAAACTGAAAACTTCACAATGCAAATGAAATCAAAAGCGAGATTTTCGATTTTATTGACCAATAATTTTTCGCAAAATATTGAAATATTGAACGCAAATGATGCAGTGACGAATCGAAACCGCTGTTAACACGTCCGATCAATTACCGACACTAAATTAGATTGCTGGGGGTTTTCACTTGTTTTTAATTGAATTTGAAAACAAAAGAGGCAACTCGTCAGAACAGAAATTTTCGAAAAAGCGATTCAGTTTGCGAATAATCAATTGCAACAACAACAATAACACAAACAACAAATGACCAGCCGGACGCGTGAACACAACACAAACATCAGCAACAAGAACAAAAATGGTCAATAACAAGCCGAACAAAAATTAAAAAAAAAAAAATTACAACAACAACCACAATCAGCTGTGTTGCAATTGTTGTGGGTCGTCGTCGATTGTTGTTGTTGTTTTCACAATTTTGGAAAAACTGGTGTTTTCCGTTGCCGTTTTGTTTTATTTCTATTCTTGGCCTTATAAAGATTTATATTTTTCCATTTGTTAAAATGCAAAAAAAAAAAAAAATCTGAAAAACACCAAAACACTTAGCACTTAACACAGATTTCAAAATTTTTGTTTGAAATTCTAACGCCGTTTTTTTCACTTTTTTTGTATGGCGATTTGCAAGCACAACTATTTTAAAATTCGGCTCAAAAGAAACTCAAGTGTGTTTTTTATTGTTGTCGATTATTCCGGATGCAACAACATCAAAAATTCTTATAACAACGACGACAAGAACTTTGGGCCTCCGTGTGGCCAAAATTGCAAAAATTTGCACACATCTGCGTGATTCGTGTCACTGAGGCGTATGGAAATACTAACAGCCAGTCAGCCACTCGGCCTGGCTGTTAGTTCTACTAAGGAATGCTGAAAGTGCAACCAAATAACCAAAAATGTAGATGTGGAAGAATTCAAACAGCAACAACAAAAATAGCTACGGCTACGACAATGGCAGCTAAAAGCTGCAATATGCCTCCACCGTCACCTCTCAACGATAAAGTCACGTCCAACTATGTGGATGCCAAGCGGCATGCGCCAGGTATGCAAACAGGGGTTCGGATATGGAAAATGGATTTTTAAAAATTATATTTACCGACGCAAACCAAGGCGTGCATTATAAAAAAAATTTTAAGGATCCCCAAGGCAAAGCTTGGCTTTTCTAAAATTTATTTTTAAGGACCAAACACAAGGCGTGGACTTTGTTAGAAATTATTTTTAAGGCTCTCTAACCAAGGCGTGGGGACAGTTTGTGTTACCTGATCCCACCTGGGGTAGCTATTTTCATCACCCGATGAAATAGTGAGCTAATATGTGCCGGGAGTTCACCCATAAGAACTATAAAAAATGGGTTGAAGCGTCGGGTTAGTCCCCCCACACTCGGAAAACCGAACCTACTACGAACAAGTGAAAAAGCGTTAAGTTAGGCTGGGCCGAACTTTTTATACCCTCCACTATAGATATACTAAAAGGTAGTTGAAATGAAAATGTAGGGAATATACCAAAAAGTGGACCTATACCGACATTACTACAACACGATTATGTAAACCATAATGTGAACCATGTTCCACAAAATAATGATTTCATCCAACCTGTGCCTATCTTATTATTCTTCCAAACTTAGTTCAGGTTCGGTCCACTCCCTCTGATACCTCCCATACAGGTGCTAGGCCTAAATGCGGGTTATAGTTCATGTATAGTTCATTATCGAACCTTACGTTCTAGCTTTATCTCGATATCCTCCGCAGGTTAAATGATTACGACAGACTCTTAGAACCAAACCCAAAACGCGGAACAAATTAGATAACTATTTTAATATAAAAAAGGGGGTTATATGGGGACTACCCCAAAAAGGGGGCGAATATAAATAATTTTTGGTAGGGAGATTTGTTACCATATACGACTACAAAATACCAAATTGCAGCGAATTCGGTTGAAAAAAGCGCTCAAGAACCCCAAAATACCGAATATTGGGGGTACCCTTATATGGGGGCTACCCGAAAAAAATGGACCTATATTCATAATTTTTTGTGGAGATATTTGGTACCTATTAAGAACTCAAGGTACTAAATTACAGCCAATTCGGTGGAAAAATACGACCAAAACCCCCAAAATACTGAAATTAGGAGGTACCGTTATATGGGGTCTACCAGTAAAAGTGGACCTATATTTATAATTTTTTGTGGAGACATTTAGTACCCAATAAGAACACAATGTACCAAATTTCAGCGAATTTGGTTGAAAGACGCGCTCAACAATCCCAAAATACCGAAAATTGGGGGGTACCCTTATATGGGAGCTATGCCTAAACGTGGACCGATATATCCCATCTTCGAACTTAACCTGCCTGCAGACAAAAGACAACCCTATGCAAAATTTCAGCACCCTATCTCAATTCCTTCGGAAGATAGCGTGATTACAACAGACGGACGGACAGACGGACGGACGGACAGACAGACGGACATGGCTAGATCGTCTTAGAATTTTACCCTGATCAAGAATATATATACTTTATAGGGTCGGAAATTAATATTTCGATGTGTTACAAACGGAATGACAAAATTAATATACCCTCCATACTATGGTGGAGGGTATAAAAAGCAAAGAAAAAGAAAACCAAACCCCCCTAAGGTTGACGACCCCCGCAAACGTACAAAGGACCACGATCTGCAAATCTGCACTTGGAATGTGCGCACGTTGTACAGAACAGGTGCAGTGTTCGCTTTGGCAGATGTACTCAAGAAGTACAAGGCCGATATTATTGCCTTACAGGCAATAATATGGAAAGGGACTGGCCATGAAAAGAGACGTGAATTTGGCTGCGGATTTATGATTGACGGAAGAATAAAAGACCTCGTCTCCAGATTCACTCCAGTAGATTGCTATAATCCGTATAAAAGCGAAGTTCTTCTACATCAGCCTCATCTGCGCCCATGCTCCGACCGAAGATAAAGATGAACAGACCAAAGACATATTTTACGAGCGCCTAGAAACAGCATATGACATTAAAATTCTGCTAAAAATAAAATGTTAATGCAAAAATCGGAAGGAAATATATTTGGCCCCACCGTCGGAAAAATTCAGCCTCCTAGAAGAAACATCAGACAACGGCATGAGGTTGGTTGACTTCGCGGTAGCAAAAACATGGTAGTTAGCAGCGCCATATTCAAGCATCTCGATATACACAAGACCACCTGGACTTCTCCCGATCGAACAACGAGAAATCAAATCGATCATGTTGTGATAGACGGAAGGCATTCATCCAGTGTTTTAGACGTCCGATCGATCCGAGGAGCGAATATCGATTCGGACCATTACCTTGTTGCAGCCAGGTGCAATCTAATGTAACTACTCCGCTCAACATACCCATCTGCTTGACGAAAGCACTCCTTGTCCCGATAATAATATAGAAGCACAGTGGCATAGAATTGCCCACTCCCTACAAACTGTAGCAAAAGCAACACTTGAGTACCTAAGACCACCATCAAGAAATCCGCGGTACGATCAGGAGTGTCGTAATGCTACTGATATGAAAAACGCAGCGTATAGGTCAACCCTGCAGACACTATCAACACGTAATGCGATGGAGAACTATCGGGAGAAAAGGAGAGAGGAGAAACGTATTTTCAGAAGAAGAAAGAACAAGAAAAGCGTGAGCGTGAGCAAATCGAGATTTATAGGAGTCAGAATGAAGTCCGGAAATTTTACCAACGAGTAAAACACCAAACCGAAGGTTTTGGTGCAGGCACATCCAGACAGCGTGTTGAGGATCAGGAAGGAGAATTTTTGAAGAGCTTCTGATATCAAATAGTGGCGGTGAAGAAGATACCCCAGAACCAATAAGAAATGATGGTATAGAGTGTATACCACCTAGCCATGATGAGGTCATAAAAGCAATTAATCGGCTCAAGAACAATAAAGCAGCAGGAGCCCATGGGTTACCAACCGAACTAATCAAACTGGTAGTCAGATGCTGGTCAGGAGCATGCACCAGCTGATTAGTACAATTTGACTAGAGGAATCCATGCCCATGAATGATTGGAACCTGTGTCCATCCTGTGTCCCGTGCACAAAAACGGGGACAAGACGATATGTGCCAACTATAGAGGAATTAGCCTTCTTCCCATCGCATATAAAGTGCTATCCAGTGTGCTGTGTGAACGATTGAAGCCAATGGTCAATAACATTTTTGGACCATACCAATGCGGCTTTTTACTCTGCGCGAAATCGAGGAAAAAACCGCGAAAAACACATCGACACATTCTACCTATTCGTCGACTATAAAGCCGCATTCCACAGTCCTATCCGTTCAGAGGTGTTTAAAGCCATGCCTACGTTTGGCATTCCTGCAAAATTAATACGGCTATGCATGATAACTTTAAGTGGCACAAGATCAGCAGTTAAAGTCGGAAAGGACCTATCGGAGCCCTTCGATACCGGACGAGGATTCAGACAAGGCGATAGTTTGTCGTGTGATATTTTTAACATCCTGGTGGAAAAGGTCATACGAGACGCAAAGGTGATCTGAAATGGCATTCTGTACACCAAACAGCACATATTACTCGCCTACGCTGATGGCATCGATATGATGGGTCGAGCATTGCGAGCGGTAACAGCCACTTTAAAACAAATTGAGAAGGAGTCTTCCAAAGTGGGTCTTGCAGTAAAGGGCGAGAAGACCAAGCTGATGGTATCAACGCGCAAGACGTCCAGTAGACTTGGACCAACTTGAGAACTACAGCTTCGAGGTAGTTAAAGATTTTTTACCGCCATAAATAAAACGAATGACATCAGTTTTGAAATTCGGAGAAGGATTGTGATGGCCAACAGATGCTACTATGGTCTAAGTAAGCAGTTTAGAAGCAAGGCCACCTTCCGCCAGACCACACTCACACTTTAC